TCTGTCTGTACTCCTACTCCACTCCCAGTGCCCACACTACATTATTTTAAAGCAAATCCCAGACATCATCATTTCATGTAAAAACATTTAGTGCATATCTCTAAAATGTAAGCATTGTTTTTTTTTGTTGTTGTTTTTTTTTGAGACAGAGTCTCGCTTTGTTGCCCAGGCTAGAGTGAGTGCCGTGGCGTCAGCCTAGCTCACAGCAACCTCAAACTCTGGGCTCAAGCAATCCTCCTGCCTCAGCCTCCCGGGTAGCTGGGACTACAGGCATGCACCACCATGCCCGGCTAATTTTTTATATATATATATCAGTTGGCCAATTAATTTCTTTCTATTTATAGTAGAGACGGGGTCTCGCTCAGGCTGGTTTTGAACTCCTGACCTCGAGCAATCCGCCCGCCTCGGCCTCCCAAGAGGCTAGGATTACAGGCGTGAGCCACCGCGCCCGGCCAAAAATATAAGCATTGTTTTTTAAAAGAAAAAATACCTTATTCTTACTATGTTAAAATATCCAGTTAGTGTTCAAATTTCCCCAGTTGTCTCAGTTTTCATAGTTCTTTTTCTAAATTGGGATCCAAATAAGGTGCACGCATTGGTTGATGAGTTTGTTAAAGTTTTTTTTACCCTAGAGACAGAGTCTCACTCTGTTGCCCAGGCTGGAATACAGCGATGTGATCGTAGCTCGCAGCAGCCATGAACTCCTGGGCTCAAGTGATCTTCCTGCCTTGAACCCCTGAGTAGCTGGGAGTACTGGCACTTACCACAATGCTTGGCTATTTTTTTTTTCTTTTGCTTTTTGTAGAAATGAGATCTCACTATGTTGCCCATGGTGGTCTTGAACTCCTGACCTTAAGTGATCCTCCTTCCTTAGCCTACCAAAGTGCTAGGATTGCAGGCATGAGCCATAGTGCCTGGTCTGTTTCTTAAATATTTTAAAATCCCTCTTTGTCTATTCTTCTTTGCAATTTATTAAAGAAACCGAGTCATTTGCCCTCTCTTCATTGGGGAAAGAAAGGTAGTAAAGTTTTAGATTATTAGGACCACTTGAAATCACAAAGTGTTCTACGTTAAAAAGTATATAGCGGCCAAGAGAAATTTCTTCCATGTCTCTAATTAAAAGTCACCTTCTGAGTGTGTGGCCCTCCCTGGGCACCCTCCATACAATTTTGCCCTCCTCCAAACCCTTGGTACTTCCTATCTTCCTTGCCTTTTTTGTTTTTCCTTCTCAACACCTACAGCCGCTTTACACGCTGTGTATTTTACACATTCATTGTCTGCCTCTCCTCTAGGATGTAAGCTCATCAAGGCCAAGGTTTTGTGTGTTTTGTTCTCTGCTGTATCTCTGCACCTGCATAGGTGAATGAAGATGCTTGAAGGCAGGGCAGAAAGAGGGTGAGGGTGGCCGTATAGGGAGGGTGGGTGATGCAGCGTAAGGAGGAAGGTATCTCCGTGCACTTCCCGTTTTGACCTGGCACACCCCTTAGAATCAGAGATCCCTATACAGTTCTGTGGGAAGCTCAGCTGATGACTACCTTCTGCCTGTCACCAAGTGACGGAGGGCCTCTCTGCAGACCCTGACTGGTGTCCCTTTCATCCCACTGCATCTAAGTCATAGATGCTGGCTCAACCATTTTATCAACAGAGACTGGGCTGGGAGCCCAGTGCTCAGACCATCACCAACAAGGGCAACGGTGTCCTAACAAGGATGCTGGCCTGAAACAGTCTGTTTTGATTCAGAACACATTTCCTAACCTTTGGCATTGTTGGATCAAAGTCCAATTGTGAAACCATAAGCTGAACGTAGCAGGAAGAACCTGAATGAGTCACCTCTTCTGTGCTGTTAGCCAGTGGTGTGGGCTCGAACAGGTCCAGCCACTGTACCTTAGTCTTCTTGTATCTGAAACAGGGATGATGCCCTTTTGCCTCTGCGTGGTGGTTGTGAGCCTATCGTGCCGTCCAGTGATGCAGCGTGGTTACACAGATCCTCTGGTCAGCCTGCATGAGAGGGCCGCATGCTGGCCACGCCGGGAGAGGCTGCAGGGAGCAGTGGCCGAGGACACAGCAGCCCTGCCTGTCCTCTGGGCCAGAGAAGGCTCAGGCTAACTGGAGAGAGGGCTATGGCTGGATCTGCTGGATCTCCCTCACCTGTTTTGGGGAGTAGGGAGAGGAGATGCCTTTAGCTGAATAGGGTTCGTGCATCTCCTCTCCCTGTCCATCCCTGTGCTGTGCTGACTGTATTCCAAGGCATGGGCTTATAGCTTTGGTTGTGAGGTTCTCACCACACTGTCACCGGAGCAAGTTGTGCTGATTCCTGCAAGTGCTGGTCTGGATATGTGTGTTTTTTCTGGTAATATGAGAGGTATCCTGTGAGGGGAGTACACACCCTGCTGTTCCATCACTCCTGGGGGAGCCACATTTGCATGTCCATGGACAGCAAGCATGTTTTTATTTTACTTGGGTGGAGATTGTAATTTTTACTACTGCTGTAGTAGATTCCCCACCAGTAGATTTAGATTATTTTCTGGGCTCTATGAAATCCAGACAGGACCTCTGAGTTTAAATTTTTTACTTTATAGATTTACGCCATCCAATATAGTAGCTGTTAGAGTGGGAACTTGTGGCGAGGGATGAGAAAGAATTCTCAATACAGATTAGACTAGTTTTAAAGAAAGTTTCTTTTATTTCCCAAGGGGAGGGAAGGGCATGGCACGAAATAAAGAAAGGAGAAGTGCTGGCCACAAAGGTTAGGAGTTCAGGGTTTTTATTGGGGGCAAAGGAGAAAAAAAACTTAAAGCTGCAAGCTGATGGCAGAAGGCAGCTGTGAAGTGGCTGTGTGTGTGTGTGTGTGTGTGTGTGTGTGTGTGTGTTTTCCCCTTTTATTTTTCTCTTCTCTGTGGGGCTGGCTTATCAGTCTCCCTGGAATGTGGGCTGGTGGAAACTGGGGGAGGTCACGCTCTTTCTCTCTGCTCAGTTTCTTTCAAGTGTAAAAACAAATTCTTAGAACAAGTTAAGCCACAGGTGGTTAATCAAACAAAGGGGCAGTTATGAGCTGTGATCTTTCTCTTCAAAGAAGCAATCATGTGCTGTGAGTTTTCTCCTTTTTTTTTCTCTCTCTTAGATAGTTTATTAGCAATGCTATCCTTTCAGTAGCCACTAGTCATATGTGGCTAGTTAAGTTGAAAGTCAAGTTAGTAAAATTAAATAAAAATTCAAACCCAGTTCCTCAGTCATACTAGCTACATGCCAGGTGCTCAGCAGGCATGTGGCGGCCGTGGCTTCAGTACTAGACAGTGTAGGTTATAGAACGTTTCCGTCACTGCAGGGAGTTCCACTGAACAGCATCGTGAATATTCCTACTCAGAGATTAGTTAATGTGTGAAGGGAACGTCAGAGCACTTAGGAGACAAACGAGTGGCACGTGATGAAATAAAACTATCGAAATTTTTACCTCATATTCTTGTCATGGTAAAATATTTCTCAAAGTACGTTCCTCAGGGGAAGACTTGAGGCTCCCCAGTGTTGACACATTCCATTTGAAGGTTGACCCCAGAGCTCTCAACTATCAGTCACTCTCACCTTTTATTTTGGCACATTGGCCACTGTCTAGCCAAGGAGTGGCTCCTTCCTGCACTGACCCATGCTCTAGTGGATGGTCCCTAGGGGGAAAGTGCATGATTAGAAACTTTGATAGCAATTTGTGACTTTTGAGTTAGTGGGAAAGAAAGTTCTTATCACTCTTGGTTTGCCATTTTTATGATTCTACTAACAGAAGAAGAAGAAGAAAAAAAAAACGCACTGTGATGAAACACACTTTCCTAGAATGTCTGCTGGCAGGAGTTTCTGTTTTGCTTGGTGGGATCCTAGCAGCAGAGCTAGGACTAAGGGAGGTGAGCCCAGGGCACAGATTTCAGGAGGTGCTCACGTGCAGGTGCTGACCTTGTACTCACGTAGGCCAGAGAGTGAGCATCTCCTTAAACTTTGAACCCTTGGCACCTGGCTTGCCTTACTCTAGCCCTGCCCCAAACTGGCTGTCTTTGGGCCCATTTACCACTCACTCTGGCAGGCTTGCTGCGTGGTGCCAGGAATTCTGGACTTGCACATACGTAGCTCTTTTTTTTTTTTTTTTTTTGAGACAGAGTCTCACTCTGTTGCCCAGGCTAGAGTGAGTGCCATGGCGTCAGCCTAGCTCACAGCAACCTCAAACTCCTGGGGTCAGGCGATCCTCCTGCCTCAGCCTCCCGAATAGCTGGGACTACAGGCATGAGCCACCATGCCCGGCTAATTTTTTCTATATATATTAGTTGGCCAATTAATTTCTTTCTATTTATAGTAGAGACGGGGTCTCGCTCTTGCTCAGGCTGGTTTCGAACTCCTGACCTCGAGCAATCCGCCCGCCTCGGCCTCCCAGAGTGCTAGGATTACAGGCTTGAGCCACCGCGCCCGGCCACATACGTAGCTCTTTTAGCACTTGTAGCCTCATACCGTGTCTGTTCGTCTCCTAGACTGAACCCCTACAGCTCTTTGCTCTAGGTATGCCTGGACCAGAGCAGAGGACAGATCAGTCCACCAGGGATCCAATCAGTGAATTAAAGACTGAAGAGCTCTCTTGACTTTCTCTTTTCCATTAAGAGCCAGGGAACGTTCTGCGTCGTAACCTGCAAAGCCGCACATTTCCGCACAGCCGACTTCTCTGTGCACACGGGGAAAATGAGGGCCCTCCTGTCATTGTGGCGATGGACGGGCACGTTTCCCTCACTTGCCCTTCCCTAGAAAGTTCGGTCTCTGGGAACGGTTCTCCCCCCTCCCCCGCTTCCTCCGGAGTCCATGTCACATGTCACACTACACGCCTGTGCCACAGCCAGGCCGTGCTAGGAGCCCATGGCTGGGCCTCGGTGTGTCATGATTTGGGGAGTTGTGGGGTAAAGAAGCAATCGCCTGGGGGTTGGAAGCCCTTTGTGGACTCTGTGTCATGTGCTTCTCCTCTCTGCCTCCCACAGAGCGTATTGAAGAAGAGGGACCAAGTCCAAGCGGAGTACGAAGCCAAACTGGAAGCTGTGGCTCTGAGAAAGGAGGAACGCCCCAAGGTCAGGGGAGCGGCCTGGGGAGGGCTGACAAGCTGTCACCTCCCTGCTGGTGCTAAGTCAGTTCTTGTCTCTGGATCTGTGTGACTGAGGGTGGTGGTGCCAGCTGGGATATGTTAATGTTTTTATTTTCCTCTTTTTGCTCTCTTTTCTACCTTATTTCTGAGAGTTCTGAACATGCACCAGGGTTGTATTTTCTGCTATTTCCTGGGATGGATATATATATATATATATATATATATATATATATATATATATATTTTTTTTTTTTTTGTAGAGATAGGATCTCACTCTGTCACCCAGGCTGGAGTGCAGAGGCCTGATCATAGCTCACTACAGCCTCAAACTCCTGGGCTCAAGCAGTCCTCCTACCTCAGCCTCCCAAAGTGCTGGGATTGTAGGTGTGAGCCCCTGTACCTGGCACTGGGATTTAAAAAACACAAAAACAGACTTCCAGCTCTGCCTTTCATTGGCAGTTCCTTGCCCTGTAAAATGACATTGCAGAGAGGGAAAGAATACCCTAGGTTAGCGCTCTCAAAGTGTGGTTCGAGGACTGGCCCATAAGCTGTGTGATTCATGATGAGAAAAGTACAGAAGCCAAGAGTAAGTGCCTGGAAACTTTTATAGCAATTAGACATTGGTGCGGAACCAGTTTACATGCCTTGTTGAACATTACAGATGAGTGTGTCAAACCAGTGCTGTATACTAGTTATGCACAGTAGGACTACAGCTCGGTTGGATTGGGGAAAAAGCCAACAAAATAGTCCTTTACCCGAGAGTTTGAGCAGCACCGATCTGTCTTGCCTATGATGCTTCTGGCTCAAGTGTTCTGAGTCTAGATAGAGGATCACATTGCAGAAAAGCTTTGGTTGTACTGCCACTTCCTTTGTTGCCTTTCTTTCCCCCGAGACGGGATTAAAAGCCAGAGTAAAGTGACCAACATGCAAGTGCTTACAATGTGTTTACTGTGTCTGAATGCATTCTCTTTATACACACACACACGCGCGCGCGCGCATACACACACACACACAGTTATTCCTCTATCCATGAGTTCTGCATTTGCTGAATCAACTAACTGCAGATTGAAAATATCTGGGGGAAAATAGCCAAAAAAATACAATAGGAAATAACACAAAGAATAAAAACAACGTACTACAGATTGAGTATCCCTCATCCAAAATGCTCAAAACCATAAGTGTTTCGGATTTTGGAATATTTGCATATACATAGTGGAAGATCTTGGGAATGGGATCCAAATGTTAACACGAGATTCGTTTATGTTTTGTATACACCTTATACACATAGCCTAAGGGTAATTTTATAGAATATTTGTAATAATTTTGTCATGAAGTAAAGTTTTAACCGTGACCCATCACACGAGTTCAGGTGTGGAATTTTCCACTTGTGTTGTCATGTTGGCACTCAAAAAGTTTCAGATTTTGAGCTCAGCACAGTGGTGCAAGCCTGTAGTCCTGGCTGCTTAGGAGGCTGAGGCAGGAGGATCGCATGAGACCAGGAGTTCCACGCTGCAGTGCACTGTGATAGTGCTTGTGAATAGCGACTGCACTCCAGCCTGGGCCACATAGGGAGACCCCATCTCTTTGGAAAAAAAAAAAGAAGTGTCACATTTTGGAGCATTTCAGATTTTCGGAATGGGGATGCTCAGTCTGTATAACAACTATTTACGGAGTATTTACATTGTATTATTTATTATAGGTAATTTAGAGATGATTTAAAGTATAGGATGTGCATAGGTTAATGCAAATATTATGCTATTTTATATCAGGGGCTTGAGCATTCACAAGTTTTGCTCTCTGCAGGGGTCCTGGAACCAGTCCCTCACCAGACACCAAGGAACAACTGTGTGTGTGTGTGTGTGTGTGTAATCTCCTTTATTCCATACCACAACCATGTGGTTTAGGTTCCTTTCTTATTCCCATTTGAGAGATGAGCAAACCAGGCCCAGTATCACAGCTAGCAGCTGGTAGAGCTAGAATCACACTCTAGAGTCTGACTTTAGAATCTACTTTTCTTTGTTATTCTGCTTCTTTGTTGTTTGTAATAGGAAGGTGTATTTGTTCTCAAAGAAGGAAAGTAGAGAATGTTATTAAGATAATAGCAGGGACCCAGTTTCGGGGAAATAGTTTGGCATTAGAGCTGTTGGGTTTTTTTTTTTTTTTCCCCTTCCTTAACTTTGGTTCTTGCTGCCACCACTGTGTCAAGCAAGATGTACCTGGAAGGGAACCAGCTTTGGGTATTTGAAACTCAAACCTCAGAAGTGGCACACCTTGGCTTTGTGTAGTGTTTTTTGATGTTAATTATTATAATACTTCATGGGGTCACCACAGTCGTCACCTGAGGCCCAGAGGGAAGGCATTGTTCTTTCCCCACTGCGTGGGTGAGGAAATGAAGTAGAAAGCAGCTCAATCGGTTGCTTGGCCTCTTTGATGCCAAATGTCCCTACGTGCAATGTGCCGTACACAGCAGACATGCCGTGCATGTTTGTTGTGTTGATTTGTGTGTCGCCCATGATGATCTACACCATAGCGTGAAGGCTGCATACATCTGTGGAAAGGCAGATGATGAGACTGGGACTCTTGTCTTTGGCCCAGTGGGGCCTTCCCTCTGGTTCCTCTTGCCAAAGGCTGTCAGCCTTCTTCCATCCTGTGTGTCCCAAAGAGGCCGGGACAGAAATATAGCCGTGGGTGCAGCTGTCCTCTACCTGCCTCTGCCTGTCCCCTTGACTAGTTCTTAGCTGTTTCTGATATTCCAGAACATGGTGCCATCTGCTGAGCCCTTGTCTCAGTCTATTTAAAGGGATGACATAGGATAACATATTTTTATATATTTAAGAAGTTTCCTTCTAACAAGTTAGCCTCCTAATATGAAGATGGAAGTCACTTCACAGAAAGAAATACTGCCTGATCTTACTTACAAGTGGAATCTAACAAAGTTGAACTCACAGAAACAGGAGAACGAACAGTGGTGGCTGGGGGTGTGGAGGGAATGGGGAGACATTGGTCAAAAGATACAAACTTTCATTTATAAGATAAACAAGTCCTGGGGATCTAATGTACAGCATGGGTGGTGGTGGGTGTGTTCATTAATTTGATTGTGATAATCATTACACAATATATACCATGTTTCCCGAAAATAAGACAGGGTCTTATATTTATTTTTCCTCAAGAGGACACCCTAGGGGTTATTTTCAGAGGATGTGTTATTTTTTTTAAGTACGGTACAAAAATCTACATTTATTCAAATATAGTTAAGTCTTTGTCTTCTGAAACATCATCATAACTCTCCAAATCCCGAATTCCATCCTGAATTTCTTGCGACCCTGTTTCCTTTAGAACCATCGGCCCCCAATCTCTCATGTCGAGCAATAGAGCTCTCATGGGGCAGATGAGAAGGGCTGCTCGTTTTCTTTACTGCTCCATGACAAAATGCATGGGTTGTGCAGATGCACTGCGTAGCCACGCCCATCACTAGGTCTTATTTCGGGGTAGAACTTCTATTGCCCAAATGCTTAGAAATCCTGCTAGGACTTATTTTATGGGTAGGTCTTATTTTCGGGGAAACACGGTACATACATCAAATGATCACGTTGTACACCTTGAATATATACAATCTTTGCTTGTCAATTAAATATTTAAGAAAAAAAAAAAAGAAGTTACTTTTCCTGGCGAGGGAGGAAGGGAGAACTAGCAAGTTGTGCTGCTGGTCTACTTTGGAAACTGAGGACCCTGCATTTTAAAGATGTCACTTAAATAGTTCTGTTGGCATTTGTACATGCTCAGCACTGGATACAAGCTTTCTCAGAGGCTGGATTTGTCATTCAATAGGTTTAGCCCTGTATGGGACTTAAAAGCCAAGAACTGAAAGTTATAAATAATAGGCCTAATTGAGTCTTTAACTGTGCCCTGGCCCGCTGGCTGCGGGAATCTCACTCCAGCCTCAGAACGGTCTCGAGCAGAGGGAAGAGCTGATTTTGGCTCCCACGTACCAACCAGCTGAGCTGCTGGGGCTCCTCTTTCAACTTCCGAGTTGTGGTTGCAAACTTCCTGCTACTGCTGTTCTCCGCCTTCCTGGAATACTCTCTCGGCCACAGGAATTCTGACCAGAGGGGAAGGGTTTCTTGTCCGGTGGGTGAGAGTGGCTAGTGGGTCCCAAACACACATCTGCGTTCTCTTCGCACATCTAGAAGACGAGCAACCTGAGGTCTTGCTGTGCTTTGCTTGATGAGGTTGTGAGCTCCCACATCCAGAGCTGCTGCTGCTGCTGCTGAGAGAAAACCAGGGTGTCAGGAAGTGGGTTAGGGCTGATTCTGTCCAAAGGCCTTGGCCATTTCCACTGCTGGGGACTGATTGTGGGGAGCATGGGAGCAAGATAGCTCCCAAGTCTGTCCCAGGGTAGCCGGAGGAGAGAGGACTCTAGGTATGGACATCCTCACAGGAGACTTGAGTTTTGAGGTGGAATCTTGAAGAAATTGCTCTGAAGAGTGAAGGAAGGTTGATTTTTGTGAGATCATGGAGTGATGTAAAAATCTGATTATTTTTCTGTAACCCAGAGGAGGGAAGTGGCCTCAGGGGTTTCCTCAACCCTCACCACGGGTTTCAAGCAGGGGTGGGTATTAGGGCAGAGGAGCCTAGGCCATCTGAGGAGGGCGAGTGAGTCCTGGGGCTCCTCAGTGTGTGCTGAGGCCTGGGTGAGGCCTCTAGAGCCGAGGGGAAGTGTTAGTGTCGTGGAGTTGAAAGTTGCGCTTTGCTGTTAGGCTTGAGGAAACTCAGCAGACAGCGACGTAGCTTGTTCTCAGGCAAGTGGAGTTTGGATTGTGTAGACTGGCTCTCTTCATTTTCCTTTGGAGGTTGGAGAAATGACAGGTACTGCGTAGGGGGCTGGCTGCCTTCCGCTGGGTCTGTCGGGGCTACAGGCTTGTTGGGTACCTCTTAGGATTTGACCCTCCTTAGAAGCTAGGGAGGGTATCGAAACTAGTGCTGGAA